CCTATGTTGGTATGTGTAACAATGTGATATATTCCATTCCCAAGGTCAGTATACCCACCACACCTTGAGTATGTTGATATGTGTGCCCTGACATCCTAAATATACTCACCCACACTTGTACACAGGTTGCCAACATGAGCCTCTTAAATCAAACTGGTAGTATGCTGTGTATACTGATGGTATGTGGAATTCTGTGTATGTTGATGGTATACCAGGAACAGTCCTGTATAGTGATGCTGTTCTACATAAACTCCAAACAGATTTAAGGTGTTTTAAAGGCAGCAGATTAAGTATAATGCCAGCATATGAAGTATACTGTGGTATGTTCAGTATACAACATTCTGAACACATTGGCAGCAGGATCAATCAATTAACTTTCTTTGCTATACCGTCAAAACACTGAGTATACTGGCAACACGCTAAGTATACTCATGATACGTGGATTATACTTCTATGTTGAGTATTCGAACATTTTTAGAATACTGAAGAGAAGTGAAGGATACTATCAGTGTAGTAAGCATTCTGGTGACTAGTATAAATCAATCATATTATCAATGATTACACAGTCAGTATAATGATTACACGGTCAGTATAATGATTACACAGTCAGTATAGCAGTCTTATTCACTCTAGAACTCCTAATACTCTAGAATTCTTGACACGCTGGAACTCTTGACAACATCTCTATTACAGGATGTTAGCATACGCAAGGCATGTTCAGTATACCCAAGATATGTTTATCATCCTAATGACACTGTAATGTTATCATTACATCTGAACTGCATATGGCACGTGCTGTAATTCCTGACACTGACGGCCGTGTTCAGTATGGTCAAGACATCAGTATCTAAACAGCTGATCACTGATGTTATTGACATTCACTACACTGACACCGTCTACTATACGGATCATATTCTTGGTTATAACGATCACATATCTATACAAGCATGATCAGCATATTTGTAATAACAGTATACTGATAGTTCCTCAGAATATTCATGACATGTTCAGTATATAAACAGGTAGGTAGAGTATGCTGATGGTATACTAAAAATTAAAAGACCTACAAATCATAGGGCCTTTTCACGACATTTTGCTTGGTGTAATATCCACGTTGAAGCATCACCTCACCAATTTCTATACACCAGTGCAAGACATCGCTGGACCAGTTTGAGTGGGTGATGCTAGTATTTTCCATCACACTGCTGCCTCGGGTATATATATACCCACACAAAGTAGAATTGAACACATCCCCCTGTGATCCCCTTTCATTGGAGTAGAACCTTCCAGCCGACCTCCAGGTCCTGGTTCCCCACCCCCCTCCTCCTCCCCCCCTCTGGCCCTACTGTGGGGCTGTAGTCCCTTAAAATAAGTATAAGTGTGGGTAGTTGTTTAAGAAGCTTCTTCTAAGGGCACCTTTTTGGTTAAAGTGTGGTGGCTGTATCTTAACAAAGCAGTTACTGAGAGCACCCCCTTCAACATTGTAGTGGTAGATCTTCCAATAATGGCACTATTTGGCCACCTTCTAAACCTGTCTCTCTCTCTCTCTCTCTTGTGATCTTCAAGAATTGGACCAAACGTCACCTGAAGCATCTTGCCCCCGGAATACATGTTACTCTGTACGCGACAGTATTGGTGGCAGACTTGTACACACTGACTCCACACACTTTGTGGCACAACTGAATGATAGTGATCACTGCCTCATAGCTTCTAGCTCACACCATTCTCTCAAACGTAGCCAGATTAGATCACCTTAGATGGACTAGGACCACATCACGTTAGAGTTCCTTTCATTAGTCTTAAGTTAATCTTCTCATTAAACTGACTTTGGTCTTGTAGTACACCAGATTGTTGCAGCTGTTAGGTGGCTGTAGTAGTAAACATACATTCATAGGTGAGCCTCTTTAAAGTTAGTTTAGGTTCAAGCAGCACAGAAAATGGACGTAAGGATGCACTAGTGGGATCCCCTGGTTAGAGTGGTGGAAGGTCTTGTTAGAGGTTCCATCTCACACCTCAACCACTTCCTCTATCGCTTGTTTCTAATCACTGTAGAGGGCCAGATATAATTGCCGCCCTACTTGCTTATCTGTATTTCCTTTCGTGTGTACACAGTGAATTGTTACTCTGCATACAAGGCTTCATACAATTGGTCAGGTCAACTTCCAGTAGTCACCAAACGCTCAATAACACACATTAACTCACTCTGACATACTATTGTACTGGCACTGAAGCTCGGTATTCCTTGTTAGTATGAATACACATACACATTGTATATACAACCCATAGGGCACGTGGACACATTTAAGCGAGCATGTGCGAGTACACACACACACACACGAACATAGTTTTAGTTTCAAAGCGTTATACGACAGAGTACGGTACTGGGAAGACGGGACACCACGAGCGTGGTTTTCATCCTGTAGCTACACTTAGGTAATTACACACACCTAACAAACAAGTCTTTCACAGTAAGGAGCAAGAAGTCGGACTGGCGTAATGTTATTGTGGCTTACAAGAGTCGAGTCTTATATCATCGACATACACATGTCGATGATGGCAGATGATGCAAAATTAGAGTCAAAACAGATGAAGATTGTACGATACACAAAGATGATTTAGACAAGCTGCAAGCTTGGCACGAGAAATGGCTACTGGATTTCAACACCAATAAGTGTAAGATGATATAAATTGGAACAGGTGTCAGATGACCAGAAGGACGGTATACAATGAAGGGGAACTAACTGGGAGTGGACATAACACCGAACCTAATTCTGGAAGCACATATAAAAATATAACAGTATCATAATTCAGTCAAAACATTATTTGGGAACCTAAATAAGGAGGCATTCAGACCAGTGCACACCACCTACATGAGACCAGTTCTAGAATATGCAGCCCAGTTCTGTAACCCCCATCTTAAAAAGTACATAGGATAACTTAAAAATGTAGAGAGATTTGCACCGAGGCTCGTCCCACAACTTTGAGGAAATTGGCATGAAGAATTACTGTAAGAGTTGGACCTAACATCACTAGAAAAGAGGAGAGAAAAGGAACATAGAGACATATAAAATACCTAAGGGAATTAACAGAGTGGAGAAAAAGATGTTCACAATGAATACCAATAGAACAAGGGTTGGGATATAAGCTTGAGAGGCAGATGAGCCATAGAGATGTTAGAAAGTTTTCTTTTAGACAAAAAGTTATAGGGAAACGGACTGGACTAAATAAGTAGGTTGTAGAAGCAAACTACATTTATGATTTCAAAAGTAGATATAAACAAAAAAATAGATCAAGAGTCATTGCATTAGACAACTGCCGGATGGTAAGTCGGGATCCAAGAGCTAAAGCTCGATCCTGTAGGCACAAATAAATGAGCACACACACGACTTTTGTTAGACCAAAGCTAGAATATGTAGCGGTTGTGTGGTGCCAATATCTTAAGGAAGCACATCAACAAACTGGAAAAGGTACAAAGACATACAACTAAATGGCTCCCAGAACTGAAAGACAAGAGCTACGAGGAGAAGTTAGAGGCATTAAATATGCCAAAACTAGAAGATAGAAGAAAAAGAGGCGATATGATCACTACGTACAAAATAGTAACAGGAATCGATAAAATTGTTAGGGAAGAATTCCCGAGACCAGGAGCGGAACTTCAAGAACAAGAGGTCATAGATTTAAACTAACTAAACAAAGCTGCCTAAGTGCTGGGACGACAAGTGCTGGGAAGACTGAATACCACGAGCGTAGCTTTCATCCTGTAACTACACTTAGGTCATTCTACACACACACACACACACACATACACACACAAATGAATGCTTCGAG